ATATATATATATATATATATATAAAAACCCAACTTTGAGTCATGTTTGAACTGATGCAGGTTGGTCTGTGTTTTACTCACCCAATTTGAATTTATATATTAGGAAACTAGCGGTTGTTAGCTTTCAAATAATGTATTGCACATGTAATTTTGGAATACAGTTCCTAAGTTATTTGCTTTTCCATTTGGGTATGCAAAATAGGCGAGGATTATCCAAAATGAGGTGGATGGTAGGAGGTTAAAAAGGAATTGTAGGGGATCAGCCAGGGAACAGCCAGGGACCCATCAAGGAAAGTGGGGACATTTTGAATGGCTGCTGCTGTACATGTTACGTATAAACGTAGAATTCACAGCTCTGCTCTGCTCTGTCTGCTGTGAACTCACCGCCTGCTTCATCTGATTTCTGATGAAGAACCATGGCAGACCAGAACAGAGAGACATCACGTCTGTCGCCTCACAAAGTGTCACATCAGGTCCTATAATGCCAGGGCTGCATGCTGTACTGGTTTCACACATGACAGGTGAGAGACTGGGAGCTAATGAAGCAACGGTTTTTAAATGTCCAAAAGAAAAAGGAAAGATTTATCTGCTGATTGCAGTGGGAGTGCTGTTGTGTGCATCTGAATACCTCACATAGCAACAACTCTTAGAATCGGCCATTTTCACCAGACTATCCTTTTAAAAGTAATTCTGCTTCTGTCTCCTTGAACCCCAGTGGGTCTCGGCAGACGGCCGCTCACACTGAGGTTTCGCTATAGGAATAAACTGAATTGAATTGTATTACAGTTTTCTTTTCGGCATTCTCTATTAAAAATTGGGATGGCAACAATATCAAATCCAATTTTTTATGAACAAAAAAAAAAAAAACGTCTCCCCCAATCTTCAGCTATATAAAAGAACATTTAGGCCCAAGAAGATTAAAGACACCAAAGAAAAATTAAAGCACATTTTTGATACATAAAGGTGATTAAACTAAAGGGAAATGTATAAAATAATGTCGTATGGACAATGCAACAATCTCTCCCCTTAAGCTGGTCATCAGCTCATTCTCACACCTCACCACCTATAATCATAACCTATCTAGCCTTTTAATAAATGATCGAAAACTGAGGCAGGAAGAGTCAGATCTCCAGGCCATCAGGTCTCCATAGCAACCATTCAACGCTGTCTGACAGCAAAAACCCCAGCAGTGTCCTACCATCACCGATGTAAACATGTAGACGATACTTTGCTACGCGCCACTTCATCGAGAACTTTTTTTTGTTTGATAAAAAATAGAGCAAATTTTAACCCAGTAGAAAAACTTTTTATGCTCACTCTTAAGCTTGGTGAAAGGTGAGTGATGCTGTGGGCTGGTTTCCTTTTTTAAAAAAAGCCATGGGAAACTATTTGGCAGCGTCTTTTGAAAACAAGGAATTTGAAACCACAATTTAGTAAAGTAAACTATCTTTATTTTGGTGGAAGGAAGTTCATGAATCCAACATTTGTTGGTAGGAGGGGAGTGGTGGCCTAGTGGTTAGAGCATAGAGCTTGGATCCCAGAGGTTCTGAGTTCAAGCCCCATTCCCAGAGGCTGCACCTCTGGGTCCCTGAGCAAGACCCTTAACCCCACACTGCTCCCTGGGCACCGCACAATGGCAGCCCACTGCTCCCCAAGGCGATGAGTTAAATGCAGAGAGTGAATTTCGTAGCTCTGTACTTGTGACAATAAAGTTGAATTCTAGAAAAAAGTGATAACTGAGTGTTAGCTGATAGAGCGAACCATTTAGAGTAGGATTTATACCAAGATTATTTATTTAAACATTTTACATTTAACCCTTTAAAAAAGGTAAAAATCTAATTGAAAAGTTAAAAATTAAAATTAAATAATTAATAAGCCTAGTTAACAATTATATTTAGGCTTATAAACTAAAAAATGTGCCAGTATCAGCATTAATGCCTCTAAGGTTTCATTGGACCAAAAAAAGTGTTTATTTCACTCTCAGAGTGTTTTTCCTGAATTTCTTCTAGAAGCACTTTTGTTATTTTTCCTAATATATACAAGTTGCCGTTTCTTGTTATTACATTAAACGACAGCTCAAAGGAAGGCAATGGCATTTCCTTCGCTGCTGGCCAGGAGATTGATCCTATTTATTTGGGTAAAGGCAGTTCCACCAACTCATAAACGATGGATAGAGGAGGTAATGGCACACCTAAAGCTAGAACATCTTCGATTTACGTCACAGGGTACCATTAGGAGATATTTTGAGATTTGGCAACCTGTTATTTCTTATTTTGAATCCAAAGTTCCATCTGCTTCAGCATAATCAGCAGCTTTTTTCCCCCTTTTTTTTGTGATTGAGTGTGATGTAATTATGGAGTCTTTTTGTTTTGTTTTGTATGCCGTGGAGGTGTCTGTTGGTTTAATATGAAAAACTAATAAAAACAATTTGATTATTATTCTTCTTATTACAATGACATTCATTTTTGCCATCAAAATATCCAGATTGTTTGAAGTTACAAAGGTAATAAGGTCTGGTCGTGGATTCCAATAACACTATTGGCTGGAAATTTGGATTTTCAAAGAATTTCACTGAGTTAGGGGTTAAGATAAAAAACAACAACATTTTCTTCTGTCAATCTGCTCTATAAACCAGAACTCCTCAAGTAGAGAAGTTCTAGTTTCACCTGCTTTGATGTTGTAAAATATCTTCTTTAAGAAACCTTTGGCTATCCAATTATCAGTCGATTAATAGAAAAAACAATCAACAGATTAATCAATTTGCAAAATAATGGTTGGTTTTCGCCCTAGAATATAATCAGTAGAGAATGCGAGGAATCCTCACCTGAGCAGAGAAGTCGATGAGTTTTGGAAGCTGGACACGGTTTCCTTCATCGCTCTTTAGGAAGTCTAACAAACTACCTATAGGAAAACATGCAAATATCCATCAACATCAAAATTATTATTATGAAATATATCATCAAAAATAAAAATCATTTTTAGCGCTCTTTTATTACACAATAGTTTTAATTTCTTCCTTCTTTCTTACTGTTCTAGTTTCAGCTCTGGGTGTTTAAAGGAAGCACTAAACTTTCTACAGCTTGTTAACATCAACCTGGGCTGTGATACGGCGAGAGAGAGCAAGGCTTTCAGTTGATAACAGGAAGGCTGAACAGAGCAGAGTTGCTCTTTTAATTCTTTAGGGTTTTTATTTATATTTTAGAATGAAACTGAAAATCTATTTTAAATAGAATAAACATATAAACCCTACTGTTTCAGTAGTGAGAATTAAAGATGCTAAAAACAGATTAAAATGCCTTTTCATCATCAAACAGTTTCCAGCACTTAGAGATATATTACGTAGAGTTTTATGTTAAAATGTAGGAGTAAAGGTGTGAAATTAAATTATTCTGAAGTAGTTTGGTGGGTTAACACCCTTTTCAAAAAAATCAACTTCTGATCTTTATTAATTAGGCAGGCTAGCTACACTAGAAAAGGTCGACATCTAAATAAGTCCCCTTTTCTTAAAATAAATGCATTTGTTCTTGAATTGAGGAGGTAAGTGAGACTTTAGCAGTGGAACATTTAAAACCCCAACTCTTTAAAATAAAAATAAAAACTATTGCATTGTCTTATTTCAAGTGCGTGTTATCTAAATTTCTTATCCTAAGAGTAGAAATACTCGTTCTATTGGAAAATTGTCTTCTTTACTTACTCAAATTGAAGGAAAATACACTTAATTTAAGACATTTTAACTTATTTTTACATAATTTTAGCAGTTTAGTCAGCTGGGAGTTAAATTAAACCTTGGTTTGAAAATTGAAAAGGTTATTTTAAGGTTCTGAGAAGGTGCCTTAGCCTTCCGACGGATCCTGGCGAATTTGTTTTGAGCGGTTAAACACAGGCTGATCGTTATTTGGCAGATAACTGAGGTGAAGATGCAGCCAATCATCATCAACCTTCCAGTTTCAAACACAATGACAGGAAAAAAACATCCAAAATAAGGACGTCTAACCATAAATCCAACATGCAATCAAACCACCTCTTATCAGACAGGTAGTAAATGTAAATATATTAATATTACCGCCAATTTTAAACGGGATGATGGTGCAAATAATCAATAAACCTTCTAATCTTCTAAAAAGTTTTTTAAAAATGTAGAAGTCCAGGTTTTTCTAACCAGTTTAACCTTCTGGGACCAGTTCATCTGCTTTTATACCCACTAAAGACATCAGGAGCATTTATCTCCAGGAGTCCGGACATAACTGGACGTCTGTAAAACTCATTTCTAACTCAGGTTTTTGATAGCTGGCTTGTTTTAACAGGCGCACGCAAAGAGCACCTTTCTCCATGTACTCGGTGATGATGTAGATGGGCTCCTCTTTGGTGACCACAGCGTTGAGGCGAACGAGTTTGTCGTGCTGTAGGCTCTTCATCAGGTTGGCCTCCATCAGGAAGGCCTCCACTGACATACTGCCAGGCTTCATGGTCTTCACCGCCACCTTGGTGTGCTTGTTGTACGTAGCTGATTGGAGAAGAAAAAACACAGTGAAAGGAGTGAATGACACGTTTTTCTTTGTTTCTTCTCAGCGGCAGCGCTCTGACTCACCCATCCAAACTTCTCCAAACTGTCCCGCTCCAAGTCTCTTATCCAGCTTAAGTGAGGATCGTGGGATTTCCCAGGCATCCTTCTCCCAGGGTTTCTCAGGTTTGGGGCTTAAACATGGAGTGGTCAGAGTTTGGCAGAGGCCATCTCCCTGCTCTGAAAACAGCAAACATTTTAAGGTTTAGAGCGTGAGATTCCTAGTCATTCCAGAAACGTTAAAAACAATCCACTGGACTTTGTTTCCAAGTTTGAAGACGTTTCTCTTCCATCCAGGAAGCTTTTTCAATTCAAAATGTCAGAAATAATGTTGAGTTCCAGGTTTTATCCAGCAACCCAACAAAGCCTGGTTTTAGTTTAGAAAATATGCTAATAGAAACAGACACACAGGTCCACCCCTCCTGTATGTCAGGTATGGGGCCTTGCAGAACCAAAGAAGCGAAACAGCCCCCATTCTAAAAAGGTGGACTGCCAGGCTTCCTGGTTTTTAACTTTTTTGGAAGTTATCCAGGCCAATCAGCAGGGGGAGCCATGAATACACTGATTCTAGAAGTTCAATGGTTGACCTGAAAAAGGTTGCTCACCACTAGATGACTTAAGTTTTGACAGGAAACCAACTAAAAGCCAGAAGGAAGCATGCAGAGCGGGTTTCTGGTCTGAACTCACTTTTATAATGGCCGACCAGCTCCTGCAGGGTGCAGAAGGTGATGCGAGGGGAGATGTAAAATCCTCCGTTGTCCAGCGTTCGAATCTTATAATGTTTGACCGTGTCACCAGACTGTGGATCCAGATCCCTGACGGATAGAGAATAACTACCTAGAACAAAAATAAGCAGATAAGACAGCCGGTCATACATGATCATACATGCAGGGGCGGATTTAGGAAATGTGGGG